ATCTGTCAGGCTCCATAGCTGTATTAACAATCCTAGGGAAGCTCAGTCTGGCAGCTCAAGTCCAGTTGTTTTTTTCCATTCTTGAGATAAAAACAGCACAGAGAAGTGTATACCATGCAAAAGCAACAGTAACCTGACCTTATGGTAACACTAGGCATGGATTCACTTCAGGTTCCAGGAACGTGACTGCGCTCCTCCATTCTGGCGCTAGTATGGATACTCACCTGCAAGAAAGTCCAGCTTTCTAGAGACGATCGAAAAAAGCAAGAAACTGAATTTTAAGGTAATTTTTTGTATCATCAAGCAATTCCAGGAGAGAAAAAATGGGCATCAAGTCACACTTCACATGTGCCCCATGCCTGACCCAATTCCTCTGGGCAGATGTGTGAACTGGAACCAGAGATGCAGCTGTCACACCCAGCCAATCTGCACAAAGGACCAGGTGACGAACTGGGACAGAAGGAGCTCATGACCTCTCAAGCACAAGGTCAAGGGCATTTCAAGAGCTACCAAGTCTCTCACTAGTTTCTTCACAACAGCAGAATAAATTGTGACTTCCCCAGCACGAGGCAGAACAAAAATCCCATTACACTGCAATGAACACAAGAGTTTGAGTCACCAATTTAATTTTATACAAGTCAAACTACACGCTGTATAAAGAATACAAGGCAGTTCTAATGTTTGCTACTGCATCTTACAAAAATCATTGTAGCTATAAAGGGGAATTTTTGGGATGAGTCCTATTCCACAATTTAAGTGAATTGGCAACTGTGGTTTAGCAAAGCTTTTGTTAAAACTAGAACTCTAGCTCCAAGAGATTACATTTCCAATAAAGTTCAGACCTACGCACAAGAGGATTATAGTTCTAGTTAGAAGCAAAACGTTAACTTAAGTGAGTCAAAGGGGTGGGAAGACAGATTTCTTTACTCGGGTTTCATATCCAATAGAGATTTAGAGGCTGACAAACCATACAACACACTAGTGACTTGGACCACAGCCAAGAGACACCTCTGTGTATGACAACAATGACACTTGATATTCAAGCAAAAAACATCAGAAAGCTTTAATTCTTTCAAGTCTGAAATGAAGGGGTTTTCAGCAATACTGTAGGATACAGGTTCCAGAGTACCCTTATCACCTTGAATACAGTCACAGTATGGGGGGAATGTTCTTTTGGCAAGTTAAGATACAACATAAATCCTCCAACTTGAGTTTATTGCTGGTCTAAAATCTTCCTACTACTGTTACTGGTTTATATAATTTGCGGCCTGCTTCCAAAATTATGATAAACCAGAGAACTCTGTGACCTGCCCAGGAAGGCAATCCTGCCTCTGGCAGCACTCTGAAACCTATGAAGCTAATGACACCCATAGCTCTAATGTAATGAAAAAAAAAAATAAGAAAAAAGGATACTTTCAAAAGAGCCCAGATTTCAGCCTGTTTATATTCAGTTTATTTTTAATATAAAAACCACTTTGCATTTAAGAGTACTCAAGTTACTCCTGCAGAATTGCTATAAAATCAAACTTTCAGCTGAATTTCTACAAAAGGAGGACTTTCCCTGCTTTGTACCACCATCCCATCTCATATTGCCAAATTTGGGATACAAATTAAACCTTTATGCCTCATGACTTAATTCTTAGGCCATTCAATCCTGCAAGAGAAAAAAACAGCCTCTGAAGTACTAACGTAACACTAATGGCCTGACAGGTAGGAAAATGTTCCATAATAGTGTGCAAGATGAGAGTTCTAGTTCTAATCCCTTGAACTAGATCTTGTTCGTGAGCGAGACTTTGAACGGGACCTGGAGCGGGACCTGGATGCAGCTCTTTTGGGTGGTGACTCAGAACGAGCCTTGGCAGATGGCTGCTGCTGCGGAGAATTGGAACGAGACCTGCTCCTTGACCTGGACTTAGACTTAGCATCTCCTTTACCATTTTCTTTGGGAGAGCGAGACCTGGACCTCGATCTGGACCGAGACTTCTCAGACTTCTCCTTGGATCTGCTGTGAGAGCGTGAACCCCTGTCAGACTTGGGTTTCGATTTGCTCTTTGATCTGGACTTCCTGCTTTTGGATCTGGAACGTGAGCGGTCTTTGCTTCGTGACCTGGATTTAGATCTTTTAAAGAGAGACAGTTTATTCTGTGTGACCTGAAGTGTACTTACAGTGCCTGTAAATACCTGTCAGTGAGCAGCAGTCCCTGTACTGACAGCGTTAACACTGTGGCACTTACCGCGAACGGCTTTTGGAGACACTACGGGACCTGCTGCGGCTGCTCCGACTTCTCCGACTTCTGCTTCTAGATCGTCTCCTGGACCGTGACCTACAAACATTCAAAATTTAATTCGCCCCTTTTTCTGTGCCTCGTGTGCCCTGCATCATCTAGAAGAGTCATAGTGTGGCTTGGGATGCAAGGGACCTCAAAGATCATCTGGTTCCAACCCCCGGCTATGGACAGGGACCCCTTCCACTAAGACCAGATGCTAAAGCACCATCCAACACTTCCAGGGATAGGGCAGCCACAGCTTCTCTGGGCAACCTGTGCCAGCGCCTCACCACCTTCACAGGGAAGAACCTCTTCCCACATGTATCTAATGCATTATGCTATCTGGTAACATAATCTAACAGAGAAAAGCTGCTACAGAACTTCTCAAGAGCAAGGAAGGCCACACCAATACACACTATTAACCCACCCAGATTCAATGTACCATCAGTTAATCAGATCTGAGGTTTCCCGTGTGAAAAAACTGCTCAAACCTGGCTTTGCTGTATTGCATAAAATAATTCCTTCTACCTTCTCAGGCCCCATCCTATTCCTAAACTATCAGCTGAAGGTAACTATCGCATCAGCTGAAGATGACTACTGCAGGTAGGGTACCTATCCCCATTTTGAGTGTCTTGATCCAGTGACTGACATGTTTGGAGAGTTACCTTGACCTGCTGCCAGAGTAGGATCGCCTATGGCTTGAGCGTGGCTTGTCTTCAACGAGCCTGATCTTCCTGCCATTTATCTCTGTGCCATCCAGTTTATCCAGGGCACGCTTCATGTCCGAGTATGACCGGAATTCAATCACTCCTTCATTCGTACGTTCTTTGTGAGCATCTGCATAGGTCACCTCCCCAGCCTGCCTCATGAAATCCTTCGGGGAGCAGAGGAACAGTTACAGAACACACCACAGGCTGAGGCTCTGCAAGCAGCACTTAGTGCATGCAAACATCCACATACAAACAATTACTTCTAATTCATTATCAATATCAACATTGCTATTAAAGGAAGCTATTGCTTTCTGCTTATCACAACAGGCTCCACAATAGAATATCAATACGTACTTTCAAATCCTGCCAACTACAGCGACTGGAAAGATTTTCAACAATCAGTCTGAACTCTGTACGAACGGGTGGTCCATATTTATCTCGTCCTGATTGTCTGCGACTGCTATATCCGCCACCACCCCCACCTTGATTGTACAAAGAAACAAAGTTAGATTGTCCCCTAGCATGACAAAATGTCAATGTTCTGAAAAAGTTAGTTTAACAGTCATATTTACTGGAGTAGGACTTTATTTCTCTAAGCCTCCAACAAACTTTGCAATTTTGCCATAATCTACATTAATGGCAAATCAAACAGACTAAAATCCTACAAGTCTGTGCTCCTAAGATCTGTTAGAGAGTGACTGCTCCTTATTAGATTCACCTTGCTAAGTTTTATTTTACAGAACATTGTAAAATATAAAACTTAACTGATTACATGCATTTCTACATTTTACAAAAACGTTTACTAGTTACACTAAGTACTTACATCACAGTATGAGGTTTTTGGTGGTGGTTTGGCCACAAAACACGCAAGGTAACAGTCACCTAGTTCAGTTTAACCAGTTTTGTCTAACCCTTGGAATCCTCACCATCACCCTGCGTCTAATGGCAAAAGGCTGCTGTCGTCATGGCTTCCGGTAAGGTCAGCCAAAGGGTCATAGGGCAAGGGTCACACAATGTATGGAAAAGCCATGGCCAGGAAAGGCAGTCATCTTAGCCTCAGTGGACACAGCCTCAGCCCCACTGGTCACTTTTAAATTGAAACATCAAGGACTTGTTAAAAAGTTTGAATTGAACATGCAACAATTTTAAAACAACATACATTTGATTTTTTCTTAAAAAGACAGAATCCCCCCCCCCCAACACCACGCTTCCAGAGACCATTAAAAAATCAACCTTAGTACTCTTTATTACAGTACTAGGCTGGTTAAACTCTACAGAGCTCACTCAAGCAGCTTACATGAGTGAGCTGAAATATTTACAATACCCACCCCTTAGCCTGCTCCAAAACCTCCAAAACCTCCCCCCGCCCCTCCCATATACCCAACTGAAACATTCACATGAAAGTTCACAGATGAGCGATTCTCCCCCAATTACGCAACCATATTTATATATTAACACTACTGATGCAACATCGCTGTAACATCTAAACGCTCCCAGTACTGGAGCCTCCAAATCAACAGATCAAACCCTTTCTAAAAGGCCGTGATTTCGCGGCCAGAAGTGCTACGGGATACCAGAGCGCATCGCTGGTGCCGGGGAAAACGCTGCAGCCCTTGCGGTGCGCCGGGTACCCCCCGCTAGCGACCCCTCCAGCCCCGGGGCTCGGTCCCAGCCAAGCCTCCCTCGCCCCCGGCCCTGCCCCTACCCGCCGCCGCCCCTCGCCCCGCGGGGAGGGACGGGCCCGGACTCACTGCGGCTGCTGTAGCTGTAGCCGTCCCTGTCGCGGCGGGGGCCGCGGGCGTGTTCCACGATCACCCGCTCCCCACACAAATCCTTCCCATTCAGCTCGTACACGGCATCGTCGGCGTCGCGGGAGTCCTCGAACTCCACGAAGCCGTAGCTGGGGGTAGGACAAGGGCCCAGTCAGGCGGCGGCGGAGGAACGGTGACGCTGCCCCGGGTCGGTGTCGCGGCCCCCCCGCTCCCCCATCGCCGCCGCCATCTTGTGCCGGCGCCACGCGGCAGCGGCCGCGACATGGACGGGCTCGGCCCTGGGCTCTCGGGAGGGACGGACGGACGGTGCTCACCCGTTTTTGAGGTCGACCTCGAGCAGGCGGCCGTAGCCGCTGAAGAAGCGCTGGATGTCCTTCTCCCGAACATGGTAACTCAGGCGGCCTATGTAGACGCGCGGCATATCCGCGGCGGGGTGGGAGGGGGAGGAAAGGCGGGAAAGGAGAGGAACAGGAAGGGGAGAGGAAGAGAGAGAGAGGGAGAGGGAGGGAGCGAGCGAGCGCTGGCGGCGCGAGGGGCGAAGGCGCAGCGAACCCGCTCCCCTCGGCCGGGCCTGGCGCACCACAATGGCGCCCGCCGCCCGCCGCCGGTTTTATATGGGGGGGCGGGGCCTGCGTTGACGTCACCGCGCTAACGCTCTGCTGCGCGCGGGCGGCAGGCGGAGGGAACGCGCGTGCGCGCCCTCGCGCGCTAGCGGTGCGGCCGCTGAGCGCTGCGCGGGCACGCGCGGGGATGCGGGCGGGGTCCCGGAGGCGCGCGAGACTCGCGGCCGGCTTTGCGCATGTGCGGGTCCTGCGCGCGCGTGCGCGCGCACCTCCCCCCGGAAACGAAAGATGAATTCTACCAAAGACTTGAAATGTAAAATAATCCATTTGTTTAAGTCATTTGTGTCTACTTTGAGATAACTGCAGGTTGTAATGTCTGATCCCAAAGCTTCTCTTCCCACTACAGCTGCATTCTGTTATTTTCCGTTCCTGTTTTCCCCAAAGGGTAACAATTCTCTGGCTCAAATTTAAAAACCCTTGATATGGATATTCGCTTGGAATTGTCTGTGTTGGCACCTACGGAGCCACATGTAAGACTCACTGGAAACAACCCAGTTAGTCATTCTCGCTAAACCATCCCGTGCCTGGTGAAAACTGTGCAAGCCTGTACTGAAGTTCAAGGATAAGGAGGAAAGCGCAGCCCGTTCTTCAGGGCTTCCCTGCAAGTGGATGCTCTTCAGGATCAGAGCCTTAAGGAACTGCCTTTCTCCAACGATCTGCCCTTCAATGTTTTCCTTGCAGCCCATAAAAGCTGCTCTCCCATAGTTGATCATGCTCAGTTCAACATCTGTGCCTCTAAGTATAAGGAATTCCTTTCCCCATTCCAACAAGGAAAAATAAATTCTTCATGGCAAGATCAAGTCCATGCAGTCTCTAAGCTCTCAGCCCACAGCTGATGTTTACATCACTGCCTTTTCTGGGGAGAACATCCCTGGAAGTGGATGACAACTAGCCTGTTCAGCTCAGGGCCATACTGAGCAGGAGTGAGCACAAGGCCTCTCTGGTGGAACATCTCAAAGCTCTTGGCACATGGCAACAGAGTGAGATTTGCTGAGGCCACATGGAAAAGGACAGAGGATTCATATTAGCGTCTTACCATTTTATTTTGTTTTTCTGTTTCCATCCTTGAGGAGGAATAAAGGATCTTCAAGGTGCCTCCTCACTGGGTGCCCTATACCCCTCCAGTGCCTGCTCAAGCCATTTGCAAATCTTTTCTTCTCACACCCCTGCCCTTTTTTCACTGTTCGTCCCCCATAGTCAGTGATGTGTTTTTCACATTGTTTCTTTCTCTATCCTTCTCTCACCTTGATTTGCTTGGTGGCTGGGTTAGGACCAACCTGGGGCCCAGAAAGAGAAGGCCATTTAGGGACTTCTCTGAGCAACCTTGGCTGTAAGTAAGATGGCCCCAGCCCTGTGCTGTCTTATGCCTTCTCTTATGGTCTGTTGGAAACCCTGGAAGGCAAGAACTGGCTGTAAAACAGTGACACAGCGACCAGAGGTGAACCTCACCTCTCACACAGTCCAGGCAGGCTGGTAGAGATTGCTCAAAGCGGATGCAGATAAGATCAAATTATCTTCTCCATCCTTCCAGATCAGTGGTCCCAGGCCATTTCCCTGGCCTCTCTCTGTTGTATCCTATCATTTTTACACCCTTGACTTGGCAGTCCTGTTCCTGATACACACGAGCACATGTGGCAGAAGGTTCAGCCTATGAATCAATAGCTTTCCTCACACCCAAAGGGACGTGTGTTCCTGACCCCTGGGACTCAGGATGAACCCTTGGGACCCAGGATAAGCCCCTCTGGCGCATTAGTTTTATGGCTTGATCCACCAAATCAACTGGAGCTTTTTCCCTCTGAAAAGCGAAAGGCTCTGATCTCTCCGTACAAAGATTTGAATCTGTAATTAATCATAATCTGTAACATATGAAGCAGAGCTCTGGTAGCCTTCTACTAGCCTTTTATTATTAATCCAATAAAAGTATCACATATAATTTGTCTGTCTTATTGAGGGCTAATATTTGGCTTGTGGTTATTTCCTGTAATCTGATGTCAGAGGAACCCTCAGTGTGAAATTCATGTTCTTTCTCCAGCCATGCCAGCAGCAGGTATGGGCAGATATGAATGTCTTATGGCCATATCGATCATCATCGTTGGTCTACTCTGGTCTCCAATCAGGAGGTCTGGAGACACACTATCTGTAACGCTGCTGCTTCTTTTGAGAACGCACGCAGGATCACTCTCAAGGAGTGTATTAGGGAGGGTTCGAGACATACTGAAACTTGAAAACCCAGACACCGTTGGAACGCAGTAACGCAAATATTTATTACAAAAGGTGACTAACAAAAAAGAAACGGGAACTCGGGAGAAGGGGAAAACTAAAGAGGAAAGTACGACACCCTACTCACCTCGGTGTCATTTATGAGATGATCTTACCCACTCCAAAGACTATAAAGCCCTCTGCAGCAGCAGCGTTTTCCGGAGGGTTAGCAGGCTCCCACGACAGCAGGCGTCCCCGCTAAAGGCAACTTGATCCTTCATGTAGAGCAAGCGAACCCGAACCAGAAAACCTGTCTGCTTTTTATACAATCAATGAGCACCTCTGCTCGGGAAGGCGTGGCCAGCACCGCCCCGCCAGAGGCTCTCAATCCCACCCTTTTAGTAATATAACTTCATCCCTTCAGTGCATGCATAAGAATTTTGGAAATCCCCTAACGCATGTGCAGTCTGCTTCGGGGGTCTTTTCTAATTGAGTCGAGGGTCGAGCCTTCCTCCTCTCTTCCTCACCTTCTCCTTCAAATGCCCTTGGCAAACAATGAACCAATAGTAGAACACCAATTAAAATGGTTTATACAGAAGTTCTCCCTACAAGGACGAATTTTCTGTTTTATCAGTGAACAACTACAGGTGGCTGGGGCCAAACACAGACCAAAAAATATCAACATTCCCACTACAAGGAGAAAAGACAATGTAGAGAGAACCGTATCTTGTTGATACCACCTAAGGAGTCCTTCCTCTGTGCCTTTTGCAACCAGACCTGTCCATCTCACACTGGTCTTTTTAGCCATCGGCGCGCTTGTAGCAAGTGTGAGTAGAGTCCTTCCCAAATCTTCATTTGCGAAGCCTAGTCACGATGATGACGATGATGATGAAAACAGTCTAAATTATGCGTATCTTGAATTTGTTATGTCCCAGCTGTTTGTCGCAAGACTGGTGTCTCCAGAGGCTACTATCAAGTGTCTGACTGTTTCTGTTATGCTTCCCTCTCCCATCACCTTGTCCATATCACATCACACTCTGGTCACTGACTCCTGGGCTTTGGACCAAAATGGGACCCCTGACACATATGTAGAGAACTGCTGAATTGACTGTCACTGTCTGTGCATTAGTGGCTCGGATGGGACTTTTTTCCACTGTTTCTTTTGCAAAATGTGAGGGAATGTCCTCGTATGCCTTGTAGGTCCCCTCTGGGCATAGTCTTTGAAGTGCCCAGTCCAGGACAGCAGCCAAACATGGCTTCATGGCCATGCTGTCCTGGCTCTCAGGCTCTTCCTCTCTTTCCTGCAAATGGATTCATTCCCCCATGATACCTCAATTTGAGCAGGGGCTCCCAGCATGGGGCTGAGTGGGTACAGATAGAACTCATACATACAGGGAGAAATGGATATTCTTGGGCTGTGAAAGTGCTTATTCTTCTCACCAGTAGCACTGGATGAGGTTACGTGGACTATTGCATCTGCTGCCTGGTCACAGACTCTCTATTTTGGGTGGAGATCCTGCCTGCTCCTGAGGAAGGTCAGAAGAGGAATGCCATCCAATCTGTGCCCGGAAATAGCAACAATTACACTCTGAACCCAAATTTCTCATATTATTCAATTTGAGGACTGTATAGAAGGGCTGTAATTTGAACTTATCTTACGTATTTTTATAAAAATCAGTTGATCTATGTATATGGAGGGTCTAGATCCAGCTGGCACACTGCTGTGTTAATAACATTGTGCTGGTTTGGACTGGGATGGAGTTAATTTTCCTCCCAGTAGCTGGTATGGGGCTGTGTTTGGGATCTGTGCTGAAAAAAGTCCTGATAACCCAGGGTTGTTTTAGTTCCTGATGAGCAGGGCTGACACAATCAGGGGCTGTTCTGCTCCTCACCAGCAAGGCGGCTGGCAGAGCACAAGCAGTTGGGGGGACACAGCTGGGACAGCTGACCCTAGGGATATATTCCAGACCATAATGGAGTCATTCTTACATGTAAAGGCAGGGAAGAAGGAAGAGGGGGGGATGTTTTGAGTGATGATGTTTGTTTGCCCAAGTCACTGTTACTGTGATGGAGCCCAGCTGTCCTGGGTATAGCTGAGCACCTGCCTGCCATGGGAAGAGGGGAATAAATTCCTTGGTTTGCTTTGCCTGTGTGTGCAGCAGTCCACAACACTCCTTTTTGGTACACAGTGTGGGGCTCAAAGGGTTCAAGACAACGACAAATTTGATTGGAGTGTGCCAGATGGAATTTATAGCTGTTAGTTCTGTTTACCTATTAATTGACAGTTCCTGTGCTTTCCATGGGGCTCTGTCGATTGAAGCCTGGTTCTTGTTAGTGGCAGCTTTCAGCTTTCCCTACTCACTGTGGTGCTGATCACCCCTCTGTGCTGTGTCTGGGAACACCCTGGTAACAGCCATGGCAATGGGTCTGGACTGCAGGTGGCCAGGGCACTACCCATGTGCTGTGTCTGTGCTGCTGCACTAGACAGGCTGGGACTCCAGTGTGAGCTCCAGCTGAAGGGACTGGGAGCTGGGGATGAGTCCGCGTGGGAGCAGGACACCCCGAA